CTAATGGCTGTGATGTTCAAGTTCCATATTGGGGATAGGGTTTCTGTTAAAGAATCTGGTTTCCACATTATTATTGATGGGAGTTTGCCATGTGTACTGAAAGCAGAATAGACCCAGTTTTTATTTGTGTGAGCCAATAAACTAGCATGATTTTATGGGCTGATGTGCTTCTGGAGGTGGGGGTCTTTTAGATGAGACATTAAACAGAGGACCTGACATATGATCACTAGGGATCCCATGACACTTCTCATGAGAATAAAGAGTATTAACACCAGTGCCAGAGGGGTTATCTGGTAATTACCTCTTGTATCTCTACAAACTCCCTGTATTTAGACGTGATAGGCCAGATACTCAACTAGTGTAAATTGGCATAATTCTATTAAAGTCAATAGTGCTACACTGAATTACACCACCTGAGGCCCTGACTCCAGGGCCGGATTTAGGGGCAGGCGACCCAGGCAACCGCGTGGGGTGCCGGGCTTGGGGGCATCAGGCTTGGGGGGCTGTTTTTATTGTTAGCGACAAAAGGGAAAATAGAATGTTTGAAGTAACACGTTTCAGGCATTCCATATGTGGATTGTTTTTCACTGACCTCCTAGAATGTTTTGGAACTTTGTAGAATCTCATGGAACCTTCAAGACTTTCTGAGAGCTATATTTTTTTCAAACCTCCTAGAATGTTATCAGCCATGCCCTCGCAGGTATATAAGGGGCGGAGCATCGCCAGTCAGTCAACACGATATCAGAATGAACTGAAGTAAAGTGAGAGTCCAGCTGCAATATTGTGAACCTTATTTTATTGTGTAATTGTGACGATGTACTTGTATTTTAAGATTTGAAGAGTGTAAATAGTGACTAATAAAGGACACATTTAATGACACCAGAGGTATTGATCGAATCTTTATCTACACAACAATATAAAGAAATACTGTTACTTTTTTGCCATGCTTAACACATAATGTTTGATGACTTTCTAAAACTGCGGAACATAGACTTTTGCTCTCCCTAATACTGTCTGTTTTCCCCACAGAAAAAAAAGATGCCCTCGAAGAAGCCTTCAGGAGCTCAGTATAGGAAGTGAAAAGTTCAATTGCAATCTAGTTTGCAGCAAGGGGCAAATTTGATGGGAAGTTATCTGAAATAGAACAACATAGACCAGTCTTTGGCAGTAGCAATTGTCCCAGTTTAGAAGAAATTGAGGAGCGGAGTGTAAATGATGGCGGTCTTATTACTAAGGAATTAGCAGATTTACTTGAAGACAAGGAATGGAAATATGAGAAAAGTGATGGAGAATCGTCCAGTTTTCCTGGCGGTGTAAAATTGAGTGATGATAAAGAAGAATGTGGCTTACATGAAAACGAGAGAAACTATAAAGAAGAATCAGCCTCGTAAGGTGACAGAAACAGCAGTGAGAAAAATTGCACACCACAAATCGATACATCAGCTCCTGCTTTATGGCCCGCGATCCTAAACTCCGCTGATATTGATTGTACAATTCTGAATGGGACGGGCAAAATCGAGGTTATGATATTTCCAGTAAATGAACAGAAGCAACATTTCTCAAAGTCACACTGTGAACGAGTGCTCGAGAATGGTGAGAAACTGAATAGGCATTGGCTAGTTTACTTGAAATCAACTGACAAAGTGTTCTGCTTTTGTTGCAGAATATTTGACAGGAATGCCAAATCGTTGCTTGTGCTTTCCGGGTACAATTACTGGCATAATTTAGCTGATGCTCTGAAGCAACATGAAAAATCACCCAGTCATTTTGCAGCTTCAGTTCCAATAAATGGAGGTTGAGTCCAGGATCAAGCAGGGAATAAATGCATAGATGCAGAAAATCAGCACATTATTAATGTAGAAACCCAGCATTGGAGGAATGTGCTCGAGTGTCTGATCTCAATTATCCTCTTTCTTGCAAAGAATAATTTGGCTTTCTGGGGCTTGTTGATAAGTTGTTCACTGAACATAATGGTAATTTCCTCAATTTGGTAGAGCTCCATGAGAAATATGACGATGTCATGTGTGAGCGCCTACATTGAGTAGTTTGTAAAGAAGCTATTGACCATTACTGCAGCAAACAAATTCAAAACAAATTGATTGACCGTATGAAAAGGAAGGTTGGTTGAAAACATATTGATGCGGCTCGTCAAAGCAAAGTACTATGCTTTAATAATGGACTGCATTAATAATGGATGTCATTTACAGTAAGATTTGGTGATGACAAAGATGGCTGCATCCCAGTAAAGGAACATTTAATCTGTTTCCGGTCTGTGGATGACTCTACTGGAAAAGCCTAACAGAACTGTTTATGAACGTTTTGAATAAGAATAATATAAAGCTTTAGGACTGCCGCAACCAAGGCTATGACCATGGCGCAAACATGAAGAGAAGAAACAGTCTTGTCCAAGCAAGGATCCTTGCGCTGAATCCAAGAGCTTCCTTCGTGCCTTGTGGCTGCCATTCTCTCAATCTGATTGTGTCAGATGCAGCATCATCATCTTTAAATTCAGTATCTCTCTTTTGGAGAACTGTAAAGGATATACATCCTATTTTCAGCATCAATGATCAAGTAGAAGATTCTCACAGACAATGTTACAAATCTGACTGCGAAGCTGCTAAGTGACACGTACTGGGAGAGCTGCACTGACCGCATAACATCAGTGAGGTACTAAGTGACTGAGGTTTACGACGCACTGATGGAACTGGCGCAGTTGAGTAAAGCCAAGGCTGGAATCTGACACGAGCCGCAAAGCCTGGCAAACCAGATCAGTGACCTAAAATTTCTGGTCTCAGTTGTGGTTTGGCACGATATCCTGTTCTAAGTAAATGTAAGCAAGGCAATACAAACTCATTTGATGGACATCACGACCGCTACTACTTTGATGAGAAGCTGCCTTGATTTCATTGTGACCTACCAAGACAATGGATTTGAAGATGCCATCACTGCTGCCAAAGAAATGGTGGAAAACTTAGGAGTTGAGCCTGTCTTCAAGGAAACTTGTGTTCATTGGAAGAGGAGACAGTTTGGTTACAAGGGCAGAGATGAAGTAACTGGAAGCTTGGAAGAAAAATTCAAGAGGGAGGTTTTTTCTCGCTTGTTGACACTGCTCAAGTGTCCATCAAAGAAAAGTTGGGATAAATGAAGAACGACAAAAAGACCTGAGTTTTTTTTTGTATGACCTTAGTAAGCTGCCGGCGGACAGGAAAACACTCTTCAACAATTGTACAGACCTTCACGGGACGCTGACACATGGGGAATATTCAGACGTCACTGATAAAAACCTCCTGTCAAATCGGACAACATCCATCACATTTGGCCACGTGGAAAGCACTCTCCACTCCAAGTTTTCCAATTCATTCATGATGCAGAGCCGAAGGACACTTTTCCTAATTAAATAGCTTTGAGGATTCTGCTCACCGTGTGCCGGTCACTGAAAAGCTGCGCTTCCCAGTCGTGACTAAGCTCAGGCTCATTAGAAAATATCTTCGATCAACGATGGCCAACAAGAGACCAACACCACTTGCTATTTTATCACTCAGAATGCCATTGGCCAGTCTTTTGGATCTCGCTGATGCTGTGCTTCAGTTCACGAGTGCAAAGGCAAGAAAAGCGAACTTTTTAACTAAAAGACTACGGTTAACATTCTAAGGCTGTCACCTACTGTAACACTATTTAATACTGGTCCACCCAATGCTGGTGCACAGTTCAGTTTCTTGATGTTAGTACATTTCAGGTTTTCTTAAAATTAAAAAGTTTTTCTATGAGCTTAGAGGAAACTTATTTTTTATTTGCTTATATATGGCATGAATAAATACAGATTTACAGATTCTAGCGTGCAAATGTATCATCTTATCTGATAGGGATAAATCATGCATGCAAATTGTGCATCAAAGTCGTGAAATGGGCTACAAATGCAATAAAAGTAAGGTATTCAAAAATTTAACCATGGAGGGGTGGGGGTGTGTGCACCGAAGACGCTCCTCGCTTGGGTGCCATTTGGTCTAGGGCCGGCCCTGACTGGCTCCCTCTTCACTTCACTTCCTGTTCTAAACTGCTATCTGTGCCCCGAGGGCTGAATCCAGTTCTCATTGAAGTAAATAGGATTCTTCAACAGTGGAGATTGCATTTCAGTAGTAACTGGAGTGAACCGTATATACCTAAAATCCTCTATTTCAAAAATACTTTGAGATCCTCAGTTTGGGGGTGGGGGGAGGGAAGGCGCAAGGGACTACAGAAGTGCAAACTCTAATTGCATAGCTTTTTTTCAGGAGAAACCTAAAATACTTTGAGGAGCAGTACATTTTTTTTTAAATACATGTTCAATTCTGTGTATTCCAGTGGTGCCCAGAGACCCCTTATTAGGATGGGGGCCTATCATGCTATGCAATGTACAAACATCTAATAAAAGGAGTTCCCGGTCCTGAAGAGCTTACAGTCCATAGAGACAAACCAGACAAAGAGTGCGGGGAAAGGGGATGTAACATACCAGCAGAGGGCTAAATTCTAGCATTTAGCAACAGCCCTGGTTGGGCAGGCTACCTCCTGGAACTCCCCACCTGCAACACTGAGGGGACACTAATATTCCAGCATCAAATCATCCACACTGAGAGCATGTTAAGGTACAGTTCTGCAGGTAAAACATGATTCAAAGCAATTTTGATGCTACAGATAGTAGGTTGGCTCCTCTAGTGGCCCTATGGACAAAAGGCTCCTCGTTACACAGGTGTAAAGCTGGAGTAACTCTACTGAACATTGTGGAGTTATGTTGGAATTACACCAGTGTAACTAAGATCAGAATTTGGTCTATAGTCTTCTGCTGCTTTTATAGAGCTAAACTGATGAAAAGTTGTAGCGCTAGAGAAGGCCATTTCCCCATCATGAGCAATAAGACTAAGTACATCTTTACATATTGACAACTAAAGATATTTTGGTTCTTTCCTTAAAGCTTTCTCAAACTCTGAAGATGTCTATCTCTGCCTTTTCTTTGCTTCTTCCAGATGTTGTTACTCCAAATGGCTTGAACATTAAGAAATTTTCAGCAATGCATGAGTTTCAGAATTTGCATGCCATGTACAAGGCTAGGATCCAAGAGTTCGTTCGAGGCCATTTCTATGGGTATGCTTTTACTTTTCAAAATTAGCATCTGGTTGTACAGACCTTTTACAGCAGGACCTAGAGTAGGCAGACTGTAAAGAGCACTTTATATCTGAGGTGGAATGTTACCTAGTGATTCCAGTGACTGAGTGGGAGCTAGGATCCAAAGACTAGATTTCATTCCTGTCTCCACTTAGCCCCTTGTAGGATCAGGCAGAAGGTGACGGGTATGCTACTTGCCCAAAAGGGAGCTCAATGGCCACTTTAATGTGAAGTACTGTAGGTAATCCTTAACTTTTTGATGATTGTGGGTCAGTAAGGCAGCTGCTGTATGTCAGTGACCTTCACTGATTAGAGAATTGCTCTCTGCTTTGTTTGATCACCTATTGAACCTTTTTATGTTTGTTTGCCTGGTTTCAGCCATCTTGACTTCAACCTTGCAAGGACCTTGTTTTTCTTCATCGCTGGGAGATACGAATATTCAAACAAAGGAGCTGATTTGTTTCTAGAGGCCTTATCCAGATTAAACTTCCTGCTGCGGGTAAGAAAGCATTTGGAAATGCAGATAGCAGATATCTTATACACACACTTAATTCTATCAAGATGAAATTAACCCAGGTGTGTAGGTCACATACAAAAATCTCACCATGCTTTTGTTTACTATAATGTCTTTGGTCCCATAGCAATGTGATGGCTTTCTTGCTTAGCTTCATAGACTTTCCTGGCAATTGGGGTGCCCATACTTTGCCCAACCAAAGGGTGCCACTGCCTGCATCCTGCTGAGCTCCTTCCCACCATGTTTATCCCGGGAATTTGGAGTTCTGTGCATTAAGGACCAATTTCTCAGGACTACCATTTCTGTGCTTGGGACAGGAAGGGGCAAAGGTAGCTTCAAATACTTTGGGGCAGTCAGAGTTCTGCTTGGCTCAGTCTAATGTCAGATCAGCCTCAGGGCTGCTGTAAATTAAACGCTACTTCCCATGGCCTTGGGACTCAAGGAACAGCAATAGTACAGTGTGCTCTGGCTATATCTCCTTGCTATCTTGACCTGCCCTCACTATGCCTCCTACACCAGTGAATGGGAGCAAGGCCTGCATAGATCCTTTATGCCATCACTGACTAGTTGAGGAGGCACCCTGCCCAGGGGATATTCTCAGGAGGGTTTTAAGGACCCTCTACACTGTCAGAGTGGCATGAAGTGACCTTAATGTAGCAGAGACTGGGGCCCTAGGAGGTTTTTTTTATAGTAATTGGTGCAGACGCTCTATTGCTATTTTTGACGTAGGGCTTAGCTTCAAGTATCTGATTCAGAGTCTATTGGGCAAGGGCACATAGAAATCAAATGTATTATTTGCTCTTGGCAGACAGTAGTGTGGCTGCAGATTAGTTTAAATGTGCGTGTGCATGCAAACACACACTCTTAATTCTATCAGTGTGACATTCACCCAAGTGTGTAGATCACATGCCAGAATCTCCACACTATGAAATCCCTTTGCATATTCACCCAGCTACAGCAGGAAAATGTGGTCCCCATTGCCAGCTCAAGCAGAAATTTCCACATCTCTGGGACTCTACAATCTAGATACTAAAGAAACTTCCAGAATAACAATAAACCCTAGATACAGCAGACTGGCGAAAACAGGAGACCCAATTGACTTTTAAATTGATTCCTTTTGTGAGACAGAAGGACAGACTAACAAACATCTCTGTCACCCAACAGTGACTTCATGAGGGTGTAGAGCTACTGTTTGTACCTATTGTAGAGTGCTCCTGCCTGCTTCACTCCATCCCCTGCAGCTTCTGTGTCCCTGCAGTGCTGCCCTGTGTTCTGTATACAGTGTATTTAGTAGCAGTTCAGTGATTAGCCCTTAGTATCCACCAGATGTTCATTTTTGTTCCTTTGAACCATAGAGAAATATTGGACGGCATGCTTGCTATCTTACTCCACTGCAGTGTTGCCAACTCTCAGAACTTTATCATAAGTCTTATGATATTTGGTGTTTTTCTTAAAGCCTGAGCTTCTAGAGTCATGGGATCACAGAAGAATCTTTTCCACTACAGTTGCTCTACTGCCATCATCCATTAACATATGATGGGGAGGGTTTCCTGTGATAGCTGGGGCTGACTCAGTGACCCAGGAAGTCCCTTCTAGTCCTATCTTCCTATGCCATTGAAATCAATGGACTGAAAGGAAGTACTTGATCTGTTCACCAACACAACAGGTCACCTTATACTGGTGGTTAAATGTGATATAACATTAGCCATGTTTTAGCAGCATTCACCCAGCTAAGGTTTACTAATGCTGTTTACAGCTAATGTCTTGCATAACGAAGAGGAGAAAGAATTGCTTAAGTGATGCATTGCACCGTTCTATTATTGTATCTAATTAATGACGACATTAACAAAAAGTGTTGCTGACAAGAATCATGGAGAACGTCCGGTCTGCAATTATTGCTGAGGGTAATCCAATTGGGAGGAGCAAGCTATCTGTGCTGTTTGTGAATATAGGAATGCTTCCCTTCAGATGCTTCTAAAATGGATGTCCAGTAGTGTGTCTGAGCTCTACATATATGTGGCATCTGATTAAAATATTTGTAAATATTTTACAGAACCATTTTGGTGATGGTTTGAAAGCTTGGTTGAAATGTTGAAGATAGCAAGGATCTGTCCCAATGTATATTTTATTAACAGCTAAGGTCATGGCACAAAGGGTCCTTGTATCTGCCCTAAAGAGGGTTGATGAGGCATTTCCCCCCCGCATGGGAGAAACCACATCTGGCATAAAGCTGGCTTGTTTTATACCACCTGCCAGCCCCAATGCCTCTGGTACACAGATACAGGGCCAGCTCTAGCTTTTTTGCTGCCCCAAGCAGCAAAAAAAAGCGCCGCCCTCTGAGCCCCCC